GCATCAACCACAAGTAACTACCTGCTAGAATTGGCTTCGACCCCGACCCAATGAGTCCAAGTGACCTGCTCCTTGCCTTGATCCTACAGCATGTGCCTGGATTCAAGCAAGTCAGCCCAATGCCCCACTGCCGAGGAGCTTGACACCATGTCGATCGCGATCTGGCACAAAGCCGCCCAAAGCATAGGGATCTCCCATCATCTTCCTGGAAATCGCAAGCTCAGCTCCCGTCAGCGATCCGTCAAGGATGATTGAAGCCGCAAGGAGGGCACCTTTATAGCTCACGTTAAGTCCACTTTCTGGTTGGGCCATTGAAATGCATTGATGCCTTTTGCTGCATATGGTGCCTGCACAAATTGCCATCCGCACTCGATCAATCTGCCGGAGCTGCCCTGGGAGTTGTCGGCCCCCCCCCGCCCAGGCGCCTTGTGTCGTCGCCGCCCGAGGCCATGGTGGCACGTGTCTTCAGCGTACCGCCGGAAGCCGTGGCGACGGCGCCGCCGCCGTTGACGTAGCAAATGGCCTTCGGGCCGCAACCCACCAAGCCCAGTAGCCGCTTTCTTGTTGACACTTTGTGGCTTGAAGTTAGATGATTGAAACACGCTCTTTTCGTCCAAAGCACAACCACATGGAACGCAATCGTGCCGGGTTCGGACAACCACCCATGGCCCTGTTGCCAACAATAGACAAGGATCTGCGAGGAACAAGTTTAAAACTTATCCTGCGAACGCGTGCGCTCACCAAGGACTCACATCTGCTCACTGGCCACATGACGCCTAGCTGACCTGAAAACATGACTTGGTCTTGTCCAACCTCCGCTGGTCTCTCCCAAGCCATGCCTTCCGGAGCTCCTCCCCGTAGTCCTCCCGTGCCTGGCCGAGAATTTCTTTGGGGCCTTCTCATTCACCTTGCAGGTGCGATAGGCAGGGAATAAGTTGGAATGACCCCAAACCATCCCTTGTGGTTTCCTTTAAGGGGATCCCTGGGTTCATTCCCTCTTTCCTTGCTGCGCCCCAAGTCATTCTTGCCTTTGGATGTAAGTCCCAATGCCGGGCGCCTCGTTTGACGGTTTTTGCAGGGAGGCCAAAACGGGCCGAACGGACAATCTCAAGGTGTTTCAGAACCACTCCGTGCTTGCGCCGTTCAACCTCACTTCGCCCAGCCTTCTTGGCACAAAGGAAGGTGCACAAGTCGGGGAACCCACCCGCAGACGCGGCCGAGGGGATGATGAAGGCCCCGTTGCGTTCAGCGTAGCCTCGGCCGCGCCGAGTCAGTGGCGACCTGGTTCAACAGGTCGCTCCAACAAAAGGCTGACACGTTGCAGAAGCCACTCCAGAAAAACATGCGCCATGGGTTCTTGTGCTGACGGGCCTCTGGGGCAAAAAGGTGGCAATCATATGTTAAACATTGATCGGGGTTCCTGTTGTTGTATCACCTGAGTTTCCGACGCCAACGAGGGTTCTGTCAGCTGGCGTGCGTAAGTTGAAAAAATGCTCAAGCACGCTGAGTAGCTGGTGCGGAACCCATAGCTCCCTGTTGCTGGAGAAAACAGATGACCACCCGTATGGCTGGGAACCACCTCAAATAGTGGTCAGTGGTTGGTGGACATCTATCCCCACCTAAAGGATGTCCACCAGAGGGACCCCTATTTAACTTCACACCCACATAAAGTCAGCCTTTGAACGGGCGAATTTCACGTCCGAAACCTTTGGCTTGCCTCCGAAGCCCAAGTTGTCTCCGGTTCCCTGAGGATCCCAACCCCCCACCCCCTGCTCTCCAGCGCCGTGCGACGGTGCAGGGGTGTGATGCGGCGGGACCAGGGGATCTCTCCGCTGATGTCGCAATAGTGGACTCCCATGGTGATGCAGCAATCGATCCTTACGGCCCAGAGTTGCGAATGATACGCAGAGATTTTTAGCTGGAACTCCAATTGCCGGCCTCCGCTCCACCAGTAAAGAAAGGTTCAGCCACAACGAATCAAACGGTTGCTGTATGTTGCTGTCACAGCCGGGGCTCATAAGCTCTCCCTGTGTGAGCATGTAAGGGCCCGCCACGTTGATGATGCACCTAGCCCGGCGGACGGCCACCCAATGTCCAAGGCAACTCTTAACTCTGTCAAAAAGGACATGACTCTTGGGACGCACGAGGCCATGAGGCCTGCGGAAAACCTACGTGGGCACCTGCGGTTCTTACAAAGGCACCACCTTGCACCTTCATGGGGGGCCCTGTCCTGCTTTTTGCCTTTTTTTGGGGAGTCTGGAGTCTTCTACAAAGACGTTCAACCAATCTGCCGCATGCCGTGCCTGGCACTCTTCACAAGGTCAATAATGGAGTAAGGGTCGTCATAAGACATCTGCATCACTGGGGTATCCTGCGCTGGCCAAAGCGGACCACGGCCGAGCCAGCAAGCAAGGAGCAGGCAACGGTGTCTTTTTCGAAGCCAACGGTCCGACATTTACATCCCATGTTAGATTCACTGGTGGCGAGGCCTGGTCCAAAAGTGGCCTCAGAGCGGATTTCTTTGATGATGTCTGCTTTGGTGTCGCCTAGTGCAACTCTTCAGGTCTGAGGGCTGTCCTCGGTGACTTGGACATGAGGACAAAGTTGCTGAGTGCGAGTGCATGCAAAAAGCTGCTGATCCCCTTCAAGCATGCCATGGCGGCATTGCTCCAAGAATTGCGGGCACCTGTCACACTGAAAACCACCCGGCACAAATCAATGGAATACTTCCATAGACATCCAAAACCCGCAACCGCTAGCATCATGACTCCCTCTCCCCCCAGCGCCACCCCACTCACCGGCTCCTCCCAAATGGTGCCGGCGAACTCCCGATCCCTGAGCTCTTGCACCCGCCCAGGCGTGCGTCCGGCGAAGGCAAAGGTGAAGCTTTCCGCGGTGCGCTTCAGGGACACGCGCTTCAGGTACTCCATCATCCTGAATTTGGGGTCCGCATCCAGCCACATCTCCCTCCAAACCTCCCCGTGGAGTGCGTGAGGAGCCTGGAGCCCCAACCCTTGGTACCCCTTTCAATTGAGAATGGGATGAGAGAAGGGTGGCGAAGCCACCTTCCTTTCTTTCTCTGCACAACCAATGTAGCATTGGCAGGGATACTCCCCCCCCTTCCACTGCAGCTGGGCATCAGATATCCGGTGTACCCAGAGACCCCGTAGAAGACCAAGTCGTACTTGGTCCCGTCCCAGGAGCTGCACCAATCGTAGTTCCTTGCAAAATCATGGGGCCAGGCAAAATTGGAAGTCTGACCATGTGCCAAAAGTAAACCTGACATGTCCAATGTCAACCCTGCCGCTCTCAAGCAGAGACGGGTGCGTGCAGCGTCATGCTGGAAATTCACGGGTGTGCGCTGTGCCTCCTCCAGCTGTCGGATTTCAGACGGGGGAGGCCTCTGGGCCCCTGCTCTTCCGTACAACTTGGCAGCAATGTCGAGCAACGGCTTAAGCGCGCATGACAAGCACTGGGACCTCGGTCATAAGCCTTACATCCCAGTCGCTTGTACAAGGGGAAGTGCTCATCATAGATCTTCTGTGCATCGGTGTCATTCTTGTCCTCAATGAGCCTGGCACAAGGCATTTTGCCATGCGGCAACACAAAACGGTGGTGGGAATGGGAAGCCCACTGTCAAGGGCTGGTTTGATGTGGTTTGGAGGCTCGGAGAGTTCATGCTTTTACAAAAAGCCGGCCAGCCCCTGATCCACTGAAAGCCTAACAGAAGCAACAAGTTCAGCTTACTTGTGCTGCGCATTGACAAACCGTGGGAATTCTGCCAAAACAAAACAGGTACATGTGGCGTTAGTAGATGTACAACTGTGGCAGTAGATGTACAACCGTGGTAGATACACAACTAGTACAGCCGACCAAACGCAGCGGACGGCGATCGATGAGGCTGCGTTTGACATCTTGCGCCTGCGGTTGGCCGTGGCCAAAGGTTCATACTTCATCATGAACCTGGCTCCGGTGCCGGTTGGCATCCGAATGCATCAAACAAAGAGCAGATTGCCACCCCGCCGATCCGCTCAATAGCCTTCTGGCCTTCTGCTTAGCTGCGCCTAAAGGCTTAAAATGACCCTGAAACGAGCACTTAGCCAACAGGCACGTACAACATGCTCACAGATTCACAAGTAACTGGTCACAGGTTGCACTCAGCAGACTTGCATGTGCCCAATTGCCCTGCACACATTAGAGACAAACCTGCCGCAAGATAGTCTTGAGGAAACGTCCAACGGTTCACCCCCACTTGGAACGCGGAAAGCCAAACCCCTTGGATCTGGCAGGTGAAGTTGGCAGGGCAAGTCATTTTAGAGCCTTCCTAAGAAAAGCACCAAAACTTGAAGCTGCCAGCTTCTGCAACAACTTGAAGGCAGCTGCAGGCTTCACATGAAGACATTTGCCCATCAAGCTTGCCTGCTTCGACATGGCAATAGACAAGGGAGACATGGGAGACTCAGAAGTTGTTCATCACTTTGCCCTCCTCAGCCTATAATTTGCCGCAGTGGTGGCAAAATGCCCCACGCTTTTCCACTGGCCAACCCATACACCATGGCCAAACCCTTGCCACATTGGACTTACACCTTCGTTTCAGCAACACGCCGCACATGACTGCAAACCCATTCTCGGCAAGGAAGGTCTGAAAAGTTTGAACATTGCCATCCCCTTGCAATGGAGCAAACATATGTCTTCAGTTTTTTGCATTCAGGCCGGGGCGCTCGTTGGAGAAATACATGGTCTGGAAGGGCGGGGCCACCTCCTGAAGAAAACGCGGCGCAAGGCGACCCTCCAGGCACAAGCAATGGGTGAAGCGCCAAGAAGCTGGCCTGTTCCCGCTTGCCAAACTTGCCCCTTTGCCCGCTCACCCGTCCTCATTGGCGTTGTAGGGCGCCATGGCGAATCAGCAAAAGCCCTCCAAGGGGCCAAGGGTTCCGAAGGACGGGTCCACTAGTTGGCCGCCAGCCTCGAGCCGCGCGGCAAAGGACTGGCCACCTGAG